CAGTTGCTCAGTTTGGCTCTAATTTTAATTAATGACCCACGTAATGGTTGGGTTGGAAGGTTTTCGTGTGTACCTTTATTTTGGGTGGGAGTTGTAACTTTTAACAACCAGATGACATTCAGTGACTTGACCACTGAGTCATTATTATTCTTTTATATTTGACAGCAGGATCTTGCTACTGTTTGAAATGTTACCTATACTTTCAGTTTTAAATTTACGATTTAAGCTGATTCATTGCATCATTTTAGTTTTACACATGATCTTATTCCCAATTATTTCAATTAAGTGTTATTTAAGGTGAAAAAAAATGATTAGTCACTTTGAATATGCTATTTATTAATTTATTAAATTAGAAACACCATTTCTTTAATATTTTAATATTTTTGTTATATCTCAGTGGGTATCAGTCAGTTTGGCGGTTGATCATGTATGGTAATGGTAACAATGGGTAACATGATGGCCATGATGGCTTTTTCGTGCTTTCTAGTAGCAGTTATTCATTCTAATGATCCAACGCGGATGATACGCCGCACACTTTTGGTCTTTGTTCTAATACGCGCCGCGCACGCACTACACATTAACAACTAGAGGTTCTCTCGAGTTTTTCTGCGCACTTAGTATTTATTATTCGTTTTTCTACTTGGGGTTCGTGACCGAAACACAAATTAAGAGTATTCGTCAAGTAAATTCAGATTTTCTAATTTAGTTACATTTTTTGTATACAGTAGAGTCCGGTTATAATGACATCGAAGGGAATTGACAAACACGTCATAATAAGCGGACGTCATACAAAGCGTTTTGAGAAATGAAAACCCTTTTTTATGTAAATATGTACATATACATACATATTAAATCAAAATCAAAATTGCACGTAATCAGCACATTATAACACCTACAAGTGTATTTTTACTGCAAGTAATCTGTAATTTTTGTCTGCTTTTGATTTTTCATTTAATTAATTTTCTTGTGATTTTCGAAGCCTCATCGGTTTCAAAACATTTGAATTGAACGATTGCTTAATACGGTTCTTGTTTTTTAAAAAGCATTGAGATTGTCGAATGACCCACGCCAAATTCGGATTAATGGAAAATACGGATTAAGTCGTGGTCAAGGTGCTGCTGCCGAATGCTTAAATTTATTATTTAAGCATTTGGTCTTTCCGATAGTAAATACATAAAAGTAATTTGACAATCATAAAAGAAATGTAGCAATAAATATAAAAAGTTCGCCACGTGTCGATCGTCGTCGGGAATCAACGAGCATGACCGGAGGTGTAAAGAATCATGTTGGTCATTATAACCGGACATAATCTATTAAAAATGGGTCATAATAAGCGACATGTCACTGTAAGCGAAGTCATTATATCCGACTTTTTTATATAGAATTATATATGAAAACCAAACTTGGTAGTGTAGTTACGTCATAATAACCGGTTGGTCAATATAAGCGGAGTCATAATAAACGGATTCTACTGTATTTACGCAATTAATTATGTTTTTCTTATAACTTATCTACAAGTAATTTTTTTCTGTTTCAGGTGAGTCCTATTTCTTTTTTAAAATCATTTGTAAGTATTTAAAGCATTAATTTGCAATAAAACCTATTTTTTTTTATAAAATAATTACTTGCGAACGTGAGCATTTATTGTAGAAGGTAACTAAACTAATAAGTTATAAATATTAATCGATTAGTAAATCTTAAAGACAAATGTATGACCCCATAAACGCCACTTTGCACCACGCATTGCAGGTATTAATTTATGTGCTCACATTATGCGTGATAACTATCACCAAGGCATGATCTTTTATCATCTAGCCGCCTCGTTGTGTTGCCTATTAAATTGTGAATTCATTTAAAAGCAATTTAAATTAATCGACGTTGAAAGCTACACCCAAGTCAATGAAACACCGACTTAAGTAATGTAACAAATCAAACTGAAATCAATCTTTGGTGCTTTTAATTTGATTAGTACGCACATACACACAAAGATAATAATTCATCCGGGTTATATATAGTGTATAACATTTTCCAAAAGTATAAATATTTCAGTTACACAAGATTGCTTCAAGTTGAAGATGAATATTCTATTCAAATTGGTATTTTTATGCAGCTTTATTAATTCACGTAGCAGTACTTTGCTTCGATAAAGCGCATTTTACTATTGACGTCAATACTTTATTGAAGTTGGAATTTATTACCGCCCGAAGCGCTTTATTTTCTATCAGAAGATAATTACTTAGCGTCGTTGATATCACCTAAATGAATAAAATCTTTGCTTCTTTGGCGTAGCAGGTGTAGGAAAAGTTAGCAAAAAAATGCTTGGTATTTGTGGCTGTGAGACACGATTAGCATATAAATTATCTGCGGCTGTGGATATTTTTGTTGCGGTGGAGTAATTTGTTAAGAGTAATTAATTTTAATATGCTTTTAAATCAGTATTTATCGTTTTTTTTTTAACTTTGAGATGTTTATCTGCAGTCAATACGGAATTTTGCCAAATAGTATATGAAAATAGTCATTCATTGATCAATCTAATAATAGATATTTATTAATATTTATGTACTGCTAAAATTTATCTTTGTACAGCAAGCATAAACTTTTTGTAATGAAATAAGAGTAAGTACCTACTTATTTTAGGATTTTGTGGCCATCTAAATGCAGAAAAAGACGCAAACAGTGTTAAACTCATTTTTACGTACATTTCACGTTCTTCATCATAATTACTTGAAAAATAATTAAATTATTCGAAAATTGCAGTTTTTAACTATAAAACAGGAAGTTTTCAACTTCTTTTATGGTAAAAGTCGTTCAGAAATATTATTTTATTACTTTTGACTCTTTATTATTTTTTAACACTTTTTTCACGTTGTTTATATGATTCATAATTTATTACCCTTTTGAGCAGTTTAAACTAAGATGTATCGGTTAATACTAAGTTGTACTGCATAAGTACACATCCTTTGTGATTAAGTTAAAGTCTAAAATACGTGCTGGCATTTCCAACAAGCTGCTACAATAATTACTTAATGCGTTTCATTACGATAATCTGCTTAATTATTTTACAACCGCGCGATTTGCGGCCGGCGATGTTCGTGATTCGCAAGATAGTCGGTCGCTGAAACGACGAAAAAAAATATCATCTAAACCGTTCGCGTAATACTCGCTGCGCGTCCGCACGAAATTAACGACTTGCGAAATACCAAATTCCAAATATGCGGCATTCCTCATGCGCCTGCATTTGTTTCGCGGCTTGCCCTTGCATAAAGAGTCGCAGCGCGCTTGAATAAGCTTATCAAAAATCATCCTTCATGCGTCCAGATCCTAGAATGTGTATTCTCACTTTAATTACTTATCACTATCGCGCGTATGCGCGCGCCGGACGATTATTAATATTTTTAATGATGTACGAAAGCAAAGCATGGCATGTAGAATGCTAGAGTGCTCACGGCACGCACACAACATGCGCAACACATGTATCCATCCCGGTAAGACATGTTGGATTAGCTAACGTAGATGCTTGTGTGTGCGTGTGCATAGATTGTGCTTTTTCAAGTCCGGTAAAAATGCATTCGGCGATATGAGGAAGCGGCGCGGACCGCACCGCCGCGATGCAGCGCGTTGTACAGTTACTGTTAGCGGCGCATTCGTTCCTTACGTGCCCGACGCGACGGCGGAATACACCTTGTCGAAAAATCGATGTCAGAGGGCAGCCCCGATGCCAAGAGTCTCCACGCATCGTCGACGCCGCCGTTTTCGACACGCAATTTGCAAATTGCCAGACCAGCCGGCCAAACACACGCAAACAAACACAAACACGTCGGCTTTGAGCGGCGCGCACATTCGTATTCCTTTATATATACCTTTATAGGTTCTTGGGTACACGTAATTCTTCATATTTCATTCTCATTACACTTATTTACCGTACATGCCGCCGTTGTGAGACCGGCATTAGCTGGGGAAGATTGCGAGTGCAAAAATGATGGAAGACTGATGATGGTGATGACTATTTTCGCATTTTCTTGTTCAGTTAATTTGTCAGCAAATTAAGTGCTGACAATTAACTAATTTAAAGTTCCATTTATAGAAATGTCTATGTATATACATACAGTTTAATATTATTTGTAGTTATTTGTCGTGAGCTCACAAAAAATTAAATTGGCGGTGGTTTTGGTCAAAATGAATTATAATGAGTATAATTAATTTTTCAAATTAATTTTGGATAAAAAGTGTTTTATGAAAAAATTTGTCTGATTTTTTTGCATAAATACATATGTATATTCAAAATTTAATATTTAATCAATTCCTGAAGAAATAATTACCATACGCTGATTAGGTTTTGAGTAATTAATCAATAACTAAAACTAACACATAATTTGGATAACCACATCCATGAAAACGCAAACTCCATTAATTTAATTTGAGAATTATGCAAAATTTTAATTTGTATCTTCTCCGAACACAAAGAAACCAGAAATTCAACGAACAAGATATTGTGTAAAAAAATATTCCACCAGCGAGGTGTTAGCCTAAGTGATGATTATTAATTATACCCAAAACTACTCTCTCAGCTACTCCTCGACCAAGAAGCCGCAAAGAAATCGGCGTTACTTGGTCCATCGTACACGTCCGATGCATGCGCATGCCATGTAACCGAAAAACTTGCGCGCACACTTGGCTTAAAGCCTGGGACCATTACAACAAAAGTCATTTATAACGCTGTCCATTTACTATTTAGTACTTACCTACACATACATTCATTATTTCACTACTTGGAAAGAGTATATTTACCATTCTTTATTCTTTTACCTCGAGGATTATCGCACTCGCTAAGTAATGCGCATGAACGCTTCTTTGGGTTAAGTGCGTGTCGCGCTCAAAAAGTCCGAAAACTGCTTTCTTGCATAAAACATACACAAGATGAAAGTAAACGAGAACACATGTTCACATGTTCATGAAATGTAAAGATAAAGGTAAAGATATTTTCATTTTATAAGTAGGTATAAAAGGTTTTAAGTATTGTTTATAATCGACAACAATTCATGGTGCAACAAATCATTTCGGACTCTTCTTCTTTTTCGGTGATATACTTCCCAATACACTCGTAGATTTTCTCACAGCATTGTATCCAACATAAACTTGTTGAAATGCATGGGACGCATAGACACCATGCAAGTTGATAGCAAGTTTCTCGGTTGCAATGAAATTCACCACCATGAATATTTGGAGCTATGAACAAGACATTCTGAAAACTTATTTTATCAATAAAAACTTTTTACTTACGTAAAAACTCAGGACCTATCGGCCCTTCCCTCTCTAAATCAGCCTCTTCTACAGTTTTCGGAGTAGTTGCTGATGGTGATTGTTGCAGACGATATTTAGCCAAAATATAACGAGATTCAGACAATTGTTGACAGTCCTCGGTGGTATCACCAGCTCCTTCAGACTGTTCTTGAGAGGAAGTGAATGATTCCGCCATTACGTTAGTAATATTTTTTCAATTCAAAACAAAACGTCGGATCCTTGTACGTATGTCAATGTATGTCAAAATCATCAATTTTATTTGTTGAAATAAACATTTTATATGCGTGGGCGATTCAAATAATGTGTGAAAATATTTCGATACAATCATTCACACTGTGCGAGTGTATGAAAAGACTCAGATAAATTGCAAATTTACGAAATCATTTATTAAATATTAAGTGAATAATAAAATGTGTTTTTACACATTGCTTATTGAAATTTTGAGGTTTTTATTTGCGCATGTATTTAAATGTTTGTAAATCTACTGTTAATATATGTAAGATTCTTGTAGAGATAAACAAAACCAACAAGCCACATGATTTTATTCGATTCTTAGATGGCATCTGATATATATTATCCGCGTGAATAAATAAAAGATATTAATTTCGTTTTAATAATCATAAATCAAAAAATTGAAATTTAAGTTATACGATTTCATACTCGTAACAATTATTCTGCAATCTGTTGAAAAGTCAAAGATTAAAGGTCGTTAATAAATACGTTCTTTGTTTTATTTGAATTTTTTAAAAGTTATTGTAGTTAATTCAATAATTCAATACCCAGAAGCTGTTCTCGTGTGGTTTCGCTGTTGTCGGATGTGAGGTCTTCAATGGACGATTCAACGGTTTGTCATTTTCGTTGAATTTATCGATAATTTTGTCCCACACGATTTCACCATTGAAATGTTTGCTCGCGCATATTCCTTCGTTCTACCGCTGCAACTTCTTGAGCGCACTTTATATTCCGGCGTCGTGCGCGTACTTATGCACATAAAATAGGATGAAGTAAAAAGCGACGTAATGCAATATTATCATTAAGGTTGAGCTTATGCTCGGCGCATAATTACATATTTACATGTTTACATTGCTCATAATATAGCCGGCGACTACCGAACGAGTAGTTAAAACTGAATACACATATTTATTGTGTTATATGCATAGGTACTCTTTTAATAATATCTTTTAACTTTGCTTATACAGCTTGTTCGCCGTGGAAAAGAAAATAAAAGAAAGAATAGTACTTTTTATGAATTTCTTTAGCTACTTGTATGCGTTTTATACTTTTTTGTGTGTATTATGCTATTAAGATGTTTAATAATATGTGCAACTCAATATTCTACAAATATCAATATAAATACTTTTGTGTAATTAGATAATTTGTAATAAATTGCATTCGTGTTGAGTATTTTCGCTTTGGTTTCAATTGATGAACCAACGGTAAATTTTAATTAAAATGTTGCTTTCGACGTTTGGCCGCAAAGCGCAGATGCTGCATCACCTCTAACCTCCTGAATAGGATAAATTTGTTCTCAGATATTTGAATGGAATTATTTCGTTTTATATCGCATTATTAACTACATAACCTACAATGTAGAGGTAGGCAACATTACATACTTCGATTCGTAAAAGTATGCCTACTTATATAGTGTTGTAGAGTAGAAACTTTGATTTCGTCATCTTTCCCACTTTGTCATTTTACCAAGGCTTTCCCTACAAATAATAATCACTTGCGGACGTTGCATCACTAGACTGAAACTTAAGTCATTGTTCATTCCGTCATTAATTTACAATTAGCGCTAATTGCAAAGGTCCTACAAATGCTACCATCGGCGTTTTGGATTACGGATATCTAATCCGTAGTTAGCAGTTTACCTTACCTCACCGGTCGCCATATATACTAGGTCGGCATATTGATTGCGCTAATGTCGGCCCGCTTGGTTAACTTATATGTTAGATTACTTTATTCCTTATTTATGCCGCGCATTAAATCCGTCGCCTCGGTTCGGTACCGGCGCTGGTGTAAATCTTCTTATTGGTGAATTCTAGCATATGCATTCAAACGCAGCGCAATTCATATGCAAATGCGGACGCAATCACTAAATTGCCATTGAACCAACAACCAACTGAATCCGACTTCCAACAGCACCGCGCGTCGCATTCTGATGCCGTTTGGCTGCATAAGCTGATCCGCACAAAATGTCATTCTCGGGTGTATTATTGATCGAAAAATTACAATCGGTTTGACATGCACTGGCTATAAACGATTGTTACAAAGTTGCAACATGGAATGATCACGACTGATTGTATTTCATTGTAAAATATGAGGAAAATAAGTGTTGTGTTGAAGAAATATAAATATAAATATAAAATTTATGTTTTACGGTAATTTTCTACATTATCACCTAAGTTTCATAAAGAATAAATGTTTTTCTAGGAATTACCAAGGTTTTAAAGTGGAAAACCATTTCATTTTGAAAAAATTTCATTTTCATAATTTTACAACGATAAAACTTATATTTTATCGTTTTTCTGTTATTTATTTATGTATTATTTAAAATTATGGTATTTATTTTACATTTCTTTTATGTGTGTTCTTTGGGCGGTTGTTTAAACACACAGAACTCCCAGAAACAACACGGATGCACTCTGTAACTAAAAAGGAAGAAAATCAATGGAGCACGAAGAAAAAAACGATTAAAAATAGCTTGATTATGGAGTGATACCGGTGTAAAATAGTGGGTACCGCTTGCGCTATTAATTGTGTATCATTAATTTACTCAATTACATATGGTAATTCCAACCCAGACCACTATAACAAGCGCTATCTACCGAAAGCGGCATTGAAATGTATTCGAATTGATTTGCTTCCATTCGATCGGACCATTTAGTATGATCCTGCTGATATGTTTAAAGATTCATTTAATTTTCATTGAATCTAGAAAGCTCTTTGCTCTAGGAGCTGTCTGTAAAAATAAACCTAACGTTATTTTGTTTGTGTTTTTTTTTTCTTCTCAGAAATAAAATTGCGAACTAAATAGCTAAGTAGATGTGGTAAAAAGTGTGAGCTGTCTTCGTTGATGTTTTTATTCCGCGAAGAATTAATTGCCAATATAATATCTAAGCTTAGCGAGTAATTAATTATAAATTTTCGTCATCATTGTACCACCACTGTACAAGAGCGTAATTTTATCTGGACCTGGACTATTATTAATGAGCAATCATGTCTGAATACAAATTATAATAATTAGATTGGAGTAATATTTTTTACAGCGATTACGGATCCGTTTGGTTTATTGAACTTTAACTTAACATTTGAAGAATGACTAAGCAGTGAAATTATTCTTCGAAGTATGATTTTTGTTTAGTTATGAATTAATTACTCAAAAATTACTTGGAATTAAACCACAATTCTTTTGGAAATTGATTTTAAATTAAATTTTGCATCCTTCTGTCATATTATTTTGTTTGTAGAATTGTTATACTTAAGATTTTATACAATTAAAGAGTGATTTTGGTAAAATTTATTGAATCAACTTTAATTTCACTGAAAATTGGTTTAAAATGAATTTTTCGGTTAAATTTTCGAATAATCGGTTCAAATGTTAAATTCTTAACAAATTTCTGAAGATATTATTCATGTAACGTAAATAGTTTTTGAGTAATTACAAAATAACTATCATACAATCTTGCAAATTGTCTCCACGTTTTTATTTCTTTCTTACCACACGACTAATGTCTTTATTATGAATTTAAAATTAGAAATACCGCAATGTAGGAATCGCGCACCTTCTAATTCAAATTCATTTTCACACACATTAATAACGCATCTCCGCGAGGATCCTAATCTTTCTCTCCGCAGTTTGTTTTTCTTATTAATGCGCGCGACTGCGGCTAGTGTTCCTCCTTCTGCGGGCAATAATTCCTTTCGGATTTCTCGCCCAGTTGACGCGTCTCGTGCAAGATCTACGGGCGACCTAACAAAACATTTAACGCGCGTGTTAATGAAGACGTTATAATAAATTTCAAGCAGTCATTTCATACATAATAACCCGCGCGTCTCAGTGTTTAATATTCCGACGCCATTGATATACGGCCGTTGTTTGCGGTGTGTGTACGTATATCTCTTCCTTTACTTTATTTTCTACATTTCTTTCGCTTCGTTTTGTCTCCAGCGTCGACGGTTGTATCGCTCGCCATCGGAATGGCGTGTAACTGTTGTCGACGTTTAATCTCCTGGTGGTTGAGAGCATAATTTGATGCGCGGTATTTGAGTATTTGGATTTTTGGTTTGCGTTTCTAATGCTTGTGTTGGGTATAAATCAATGTGATGACTGCGAATTGTCTAATTAAAATTGCATCTCATACCTCGTGAGAAAAACAACATTAATATGATTTCCGGCATCATTTAAGCGTCAAAATTAGCAGTAAAAGTAGTTAAATTATTTATACAATAAAGAAAAAGCATCATTCTTGATGCTTTAATTAGTTAATTACTAATATTCCCTCCAATATCTTTTATACTTCGATTTTTTTTATCACATGCTCAATATTTAAGTACCAACATCAACCTCACACGTCACCCTAGGCCCCAATTTTAATAGACAGATGATAATCACAAAATAAAGCCGCATTGTCACGTTAAGTTAACGCACACAGCACAAAGGGTCGTCGCGTGGCGCCGAGGGAAGAAGATACCTGCGGGAAAAAAGCGAGGGGGCAAACTGGAACCGGGAAAGTTAAATGCGGCAGGTAACTGCTAATGTGCGACACGCGTTCGGTAATTTGGTAATGGCGCAACCATTACGAGGGGGCTCTTTTTAGCGTGGTGCGCCTCCGAGGGTGAAAGCGATGACCACACGACCGCACGTGCGGGGCAAGTGGTAAATGGATAAACACTACGTCGGCTCGACACGCACACGCGCTGAAAAATTATGATCTCATTACAATAATTAATGTTAATATAGAATGTTAATGTTATTCATGTAAACAGAATTTAAATTACGCATAGAAATTTATGATGACAGAAGGGAAATGTAGATATGCAAAAGAAAAGGTTTTTGTATGAAGAAATGTAGACATTGAATTGATAATAACAAAATGTGCACATTTTTATATTTTGTGAAAAATGTGCAGGATTGAAACGTGAAGGTAAGAATTAATTCAGAAACGTGAATATTGTTAAACACGTTTTAGTAAATTTAAAAAGTCTTGAATTGCATTGGATAGTTATTAAGTCATTGCATTCATCCTTGACATTCAGTCACGTTTATGTCGATCGCTTGAAGAAACTCGATTTGCATGAAATGCTGATTTGAAAATGATACGATTTTAATATCATTGCTATAATAACATAATTTATTGCCTAGCATATTTTGCACATAGACGCATTTAATCGAATTCGAAATACCTCAATCGTTAAGATAACATAAACGACTCAAATATAGGTATAGCCATGACGTCTTTACCTGACAATTATTTATAACTTTGTCTGCAGTAATTTATTTGAACAAATTTATAGTAAAACTAGTGTAGAATTTAATTTAAAATAAATTTTTGAAAGGACCATAATTTTATCACAAATAATTTTCGAGAAATTAATTAAAAACTAAAAGAAAACAAAGTAGTTCTTGAATCACTCATAGGTGTCGCTACTATACTACTTTTGAATTTATATTAGTTCTTAAGTAATATGATGCTTAGCACGCGCCTGTCGGAAATTTATTTCGGTCCAAATCAAATATACTGAAAATTAATTCGCATGAACGCGTTTATATGCAAAATTACGATACACTTATCGACATAATTTGAAAGTTTAGCGCTTATTTAATACACACGTGTGTTCACTTCGCATGAAATATTCGTCCACACGCCATCATGCTGTAAGCAGCATTTCTCCTCACTTCTCCTGCACACACGGCAATAGAGATGAGAAAAATTACCCTTCGGAACGCGCGTGCGATACAGGCCTCGTTGCGCTGGCGCATTGTGTGCGCCCGGTTGAGAGATAAGATGCATACGCGACTGTGCGATTGTGTAATATCGAAAGAAAAGCGCGCGCGCACTGAAAAAACGCCAAACAAACTTCTTGTGCGGTCTCAACGAGTTTCGGTGCCTCCGATAGGTATTATCTTACAGCTTCAACGTTTATTACAACAACATATCGAAACGCAGCGCGTACATGCTTGTATAACAATATTATGCGCACCGCGCGTGTATTTCCAATCAATTTTAATTAGTTATAATATATATGGCTAAGTTTAACTTTAAATCATAATTTTCTTTTAATTAGACGTGTAAACATCTGCAGGTACGCAAATACCGCATGTAAATAGACGTAAATTTTATTTTTCGTAATTTTAAATCATTTTGAAGTAGTTTTTATTTAGAATTGTGAATATCGCTTTGAAACATGTTTTTAAATTAGTATAGATCACAATTATGACTTGTTCAGTACCTAATAAAATTATTAACTACTATTTAATATTTTACTGCTGTTTATTTTATAAATTTAAAAAAAATAATGAAAAATTATGATAGTTTGAAATTTTGTGAATAACTACCAAAGAAATTCAATACGGTTGGAATTACCAAGAATTCCACACGCACACGCATTACTAAAAGACTGCAGGACATGATACTTCTTAGCTACGTACGCGTATGTTACCTACTCACTTACGGTAGTTGTTCAACGTGACATTGACGAATGCAAAACGAGCCATCGCAACGTGAATCACCAAGCAGACGAGCGCGAGCTAATGCAACTTAATGCGCGATATGATAGCAAAGCCTGCGCTCGAACAAATACGAAAGGAGACGGTGATGAGAATCTTACTTGTAATTAATAAAATTTCATTCTGGTCGTCGAGAAGTCCGCGCGTCGAGGATGCGCGGTAGGCCGACCAGTGCCTAACTCAATTTGTTAATGTCCGAAGGGCTACTCCTACGCATAATTTAATGTTGTAGAAGAGTTTTTTTCTTTCTCACGTGAATTATGTTTGTGTTTTGTGTGTTTGGTAAAACTTTAAAAGCCACGAACATCAAGTTTAAACAAATAAAACCCAAATACAGAGTGTTTTAATAGTTTAAAAGTTTGAAAGTAATTTATTCTTATATTTAACTTATCGGCTATTCGGTAAAATTTTCGACACTTTCATCTCAAGAATGGCAAGGCAAGCAATTAATGTTAATGCTAATTGATGGCAATCCTCTTTAATTTGCATTTGATTTCACAACACCAAATCGGTGATTGGAATAAAATAAGTGAGTCACCATCCTGCAAAATACTTAATCAGGCAAGATTCATCGTCATCAATTTAATCACCGTTACTTCATTTGTTTATATTGATTGTAATAGTTTATTGTGGCTCATTACGAGTGATTGTTTACAATGTCCACATCTGTAGACAATCACCGATTGTTCCAAAAGTAGATCTCTGCCCGTTTCGCACCAATCAACAATGTTATTAATCATCGAGCACGCGATTCGTTATGAATACAAACGAATTAATATTACGAATATTATTAAATTGATTGCGTTGAGCGCGGATGAATTTTGCATTCCCGGAATGTACAGTACTTCGTACGTCCATAAATTCGATTACATGCTGCAAGACAACAATGATAAAACATTCAATTAATACGTGCAAACATTCGTACGTCGTGTCATTCGCTTTGAACGCGTACGAGTACGCCATATTGCCTCTTGAATAATAATACCACCACAGTTCTTCTCTCTGCGTAGTTATTCTTATTCTTGGCGCTTCTTATTCAAATGTAACCTTTGTTTTTATGATAGTTCAATGACTTTTTGTACGCGGTATTTAGCATAATGTTTGTATAAATTTCTTTCAATTTTAGCGGAGAGTTACATAAAAAAATAAGTTGAAACGGAGAACATTGACGGTATCGGATCTTCCTGCATCTTTTATATCATTTATTTAAATGTAGTTGTCATAAAATTCTATTTGAATGATTGAAAAACTTCAGTTTTAGGTCAGGAAATGAATTCTATCGGTTTAAGTTTAGAAAACGTAAATATTTGTGGTTGGAATGGAATATTTTATCAGGTTTATATCTAAACTACCAAAATTCCTAAGAATTGTTTGAGTTAATTATTAATTCAGTTCCTATATTGTTTTTCACGGCATCATTTCTCATTTCTCATTCAATTGGAAGCGTGGCGCTTTCCCGGTGTATCTTGTGAATGCGTGTCCCACTGAATGATTAATAAATACCCTTCAGTGAGTTGGACACAATTAATTTTCTATTGTGAGCGACTTTTTAATTAATTAAATTTGTTCGCAACCAGGGACGCGAACACGAGCGCACGGCAAACACGAATATCGCTCGTTTGTTGACCGCTGCGGATTGGTGAAACGAAACGCGGACTCCCCATGGGGACACTGCTCCACATTTTAATTTCCTGCTTAATAAACAACACAACGCCGATGTCATACAAAGCGTCTAACAGGAAAGATTCACAATAAGGGCATAGAAAAAGTATTTATAGGATAAAATACTTCGTATATAACAACTTCAGGAAGGAAAGTTTGTAACATATTAAGATAAAATCATATTAATAAATAATAATTAGATAATTAGGTTTATATCGTTAAATATCACGTTATTTTATTTTATGTTGTAATATAGTTATTGTCTTCCATGAAACTATATGAAAATTACATAATCTTGTTTAATTTATAGGACAAATCGCCATGGTGAACGTGCATTTTATTAAATTATTTAATTAATTACTTATTTAACTATTTTCCAATTGTGTATTATCATTGAGTCATAAAACTTTAATTTCCAATTTTGCAATGATGCAGCTATAAACACAGTTTCTAATCGCATTTAATTTATAATGAAATCCTGCATGCATTTTGTTTATTACTGAAGACTACAAATCAAAAACGGAGATGTTATTTTCTACAAGTTGTGAAATCTGCTCATTTTTAACTTATCATGGACTTTTCAATAAATTTCGGTTGAGAGTTTGCTGAAAATAATACATTTATCTGTACATTACACTAACGTTAAAAGTGTTACCTCGATTTGGTTTAGTCGATAAATTTCACGCGATATGTTAATGGCCAATAAATAAATATTTGCAGTTATGAGTTGTACATGCACACACGCTGCTTGCTTTTGACTGGCTTTTACATTTTACGATTGTCTTGCGTTCACATTGGTGCGCATAAACGTTTGTCTAAAAGCTCTAAAAGTCTCGGCCAAGATTTATCACATAATCATTCATTTAAATGTGGAAAACATTCAATATAATACGATCAAAAAACTATTTTTCTCATGGTTTTTATTTGGATTCTTATCGGATCAATTAAAATAGAATTATATTGGAAATAAGATATTTATATTTTACTACTTAATTTGTAATTATAAGATAAGTACAGTGGATTAAGTAGGTTGTAGATTCTGTTAGAAACTGAGATTTAGAATGTTTGTATCAAGCATCGGTGGTTCAGTGGTAGAATGCTCGCCTGCCACGCGGGCGGCCCGGGTTCGATTCCCGGCCGATGCAAGCTTTTTGATTTTAAATATTAATTTTGGTTTTTAAATTTATTTTTACTTATTTCCAGACAAGTGACTTTGAAACGTTCCTGTGCAAGCAGGAATGGGAGCGACGCTTCGACGAAGAGCTAGAAAAACCACGGCGAGACTCTGCCTCGCAGATCGATGAATTCTTCGAACCGCCCCGCCACCAGCAGACCATGAGCTACGTGTCCATGCGAACGCTGCCCGGGAATGACGACGATGTCTTCCTGCGGCCACCACTATGGGAGGACATTGCAAGCAGTATTCAAAATATCGATCCGGAGAATGCTAACATGTTGGCGGTCGGTGCTGGTCTTATAAAACTAGAAGCCATTGATGATATGTCCGCCACATGCGCACCTACCCCGACGCCATTGTTATCCCCCTTGGAAATTAAAACGGAAAAGGTACATAAATTAGCAATGCTTTCTTAAAACTATTCATAACTAACAGGTTTTATATTTTGCTCATTAGATTATTCAACAACCTGCGCCTACATTACATTTAATGGGGACGCCTTCATCCCCTTACAATCCACAACAACCGATGAGTCCTCAACACAATCAGCCGCCACACTTCCAACAGCAGCAGGTCCTCCATCCGCCCAATAATAATGCGCATGCGCAGTACAATCACCAAACGCATGGAAAATATGGCAGCCCACCGTTGGGGCCGGCGCCCGCCAACGCTTTGTATCCACCAATGTCGCGGCTCATTCCGTACGTGTCCCCATTGACTCCGCCCAGTTCGGAGCCGGGATCACCAGGCGGAACGCTGCCGAGACGCACGCCGCCCCCGCCATATCCTGCACCAAACTGCCAGCCCACTACCCCGCAAGCGCCGGCGCGGATCACGCAGGGGGTTCGGTACAATCGGAGAAATAATCCGGAGCTCGAAAAGCGAAGGATACATCATTGCGATTTTATGGGTATGTTTTCCGCGAATTCAATTTACATTTGGATTTATTTACTTGTTTTATTATTGTTGCAGGATGTACAAAAGTGTATACGAAAAGCTCTCATCTAAAAGCTCATCAGAGGATCCATACAGGTACTTATATTAATAATATTATAATATAGAGGATTAACAATGTATTCTTTTGTTGATCTAGGTGAAAAACCATATCAGTGTCAATGGGCCGATTGCGAATGGCGATTTGCACGATCCGATGAACTCACCCGCCATTATCGGAAGCATACCGGTGCAAAACCATTCAAATGCGCCGTCTGCGAACGCTCGTTCGCGCGTTCTGACCATCTGGCACTGCACATGAAGCGACATTTACCAAAAACAAATAAGTGACTAGTCGCCAACGATCGTCGCGGCAACAACAACGCGGCCATCGTCACCGTATAGTCACACCAGAAGTGCAGAAATGCTAAAACAGAAACAATTCATTCCACAATCGTTTCCACGGTAAATATATGCTTCAGTCGAGTTTTCATTCCCCTGTGACCAAGGATAAAGAAATGGTCGGTGAAAATTTTCAACAATACAACAACCAACAAATGTTGCGCATTCGTATCGAAATAGGAAGTTAACAAATATCAAGCCATAGATGCGGTTGCCATTTTATTGATCGAGCTGTTAATTCGGTACCAATCTGTGAAGATCTCAAATACTACTTTAATTTATTTTACTTATCCAATCATCATCACAAGGACGAACAAACTTAATGAATTTAAGTAATTATCTATTTATTTCCTTATCAGAACTACAAAGTGTCCTTTGCAAGCATGAAAATGTTATCACGACAAGAGGCCTTAACGATATGCCTTAAAATTGCCATTTTATCAAACTTATTCCAATCAATCAATGGCTTTTCAACAATTTGATAAATTTATATTTATACAAAATGTCTGAGCACCCTGGACATTTACTGAATATTAAGATGTAAATTTGTTATTATACTTACCTTGTAAAATTGTATTATATCATTCTTTACGATAGTAAATTATAAAATGTGATTTTATTTAAAACATTAGCTGCTACAAATTAGTTAAATCATGTACACGACTAAACTTAAGCACCAGCTGCCAGATTACATTCATATAGGTATTATATTTTAGTAATTTCATTGTTAATTATTATTTATTGCAATGTTTTGATTGAAATTGTTGCGTTGTGTTAATTGCTTGTGATTAACAATTGCCAATGAGTTGTAGTATTTTCTTATCCATATTTTAATGGAGGGCTATGTTATATTTGCTATGCTATGCGATGTGTGCACCTAAAATCTTTGAATCCAAATTTAATAATCAATTGTGTATCAGTCAATGTTATAGTTACAATTATGTACGTGGTACATTGTACTTCAATCAAGTTTATCATTGTAAAATGCCACGAATGAAATGATTTTTTGAATTAATCATAACGAAAGTGGTCTTAACCAACCGAAGTCACCTCAAATCTTAAAGTTTCTCTAAGTGGTAGGTAGCACTACGATATTTTGCGTAAATATTATTAGAACTAACAGCATTCCAGATTGCCACAATAGTATATTGTATTTTATGTGTATAAAACGAGACTTTTTAACTCAATGATAAAAAGTTGCTTTTTCACGCTGTTTTCTACGATAAATGCTAAATGTTAATTAGTATTGTGATAATACACTCACCACCAACGCAATATCGTAGAAAAACAGTTTGTAATTATAATGTGCGTACAATGTTTATTAACGCAAGTAATTTTGTTTGTTTTTCTTTCGATATCATAAGCAATTTTGTAATATTTAATTCTACACTTTACCGTACTAGCGTTGTGATTTTTATAAATAGTATTCTCTTCTGTAGTGCGATAGATATTTACCTTCACGATTTACTCGATATCAGCTTGCAATTAAAGCGTACCCAGTTCACAAATTGAATTCAGTATATAAAGTTACCAAATATATATAACACAATTTATTGACGAGTATTGGTGAACAGTATTTTCATTGTGCACCGAGAATATATCCAGTAATTATTAATCTATAAATTATTTTGTACATACTCGCATTCCACTCACTTGCGTCAACTTATGCACCGTTGTAGATCGTTCTTTTGCAAATTAACTTAGCGTCCTGTATATGTAGCATACATTATTATAAAGATTAGAAACAAAACTGACTGGATACTAGTCCAGAGATAGATAACTACTTATATATTATTATGAATGATACATTCGAGATGTCTATACACATTCCAGCAAGATGTATTACGATGTAAAAAATAAATGCGTACTATGGAATATTATACCGTTGATTTCGATTGTGTATTTTGTTCAGATATTTGGCTTGTATGATGTGTATTTTGTTAATGTATATGTTATTTATATTAAGTAGCAATGTTGGCCGTTTGATGAGTTATGTTTTAGTTCATGTAATTGAATTTAATCTAAATCGTCAGTAATTTTATAATTATTATATTATTTTTACCATTTGTTGTAATGATGTAATATACAGAAATGACTTTACAATATTTTATTTTATTTTATTCTTGTTTTATTGCTAAAACTGTTGGAAGAATTAACATTTTTAAGAGTTAAGTTTCGATGCACAACTGTGCCACTAAAAAATATAGTTTTTTGCCTAGCATTCCTAAATCTATTCAATTTATCAAAAACCGCTACACGCATACGATGCCGAATCAATTTCTCTTTAATACTGTATGTATATAAATGCTATACATTTAGTATTTTTTTAAATATTCCACTTTAATTGAAAACAGACTCATTTTATTGCAATGGTGATAACTTAAAAGTTCATAATATGGCGGCCAGATGGCGCTCCCAACACCGAATTGTAATTTTTATTTAGCGCGCATTTTTTATATACATTATTTTTCAGTTGTCCAGTAAATGTTGTGCGGCGTGGCGTGTTGTTGTTTATTGCTGTTGCATTCGGTTTATTTGATAACACATCCGATTTTGTGTTGATTAACAGTCAGTTATTATAAATTCATTTTAAATACAATTAAAACATGAGTGAACATGGTGTGCATCGTGTCGTTGTGCTACACGCGGGTTTTCCTGCAGACATTAAGCCAAGAATTGTATTGCGACATATGCAAGAAACAAAATATAAAACTGCTGATTCAGTTGTTTACATCTTGGGAAAAGGTTATTCGTGCCTAGACTCGATAATGCAGGACATTAAATGGACCAGATGAAAACGTGAGTACTGTTTCATTTTCTCAACGAAGCATTTTTATTGTGCAGTCTATAACAAATGTGCCAACATTTACCCCTCACCAAAAACTATTCTATAAAATTTGCAACAAACAAAACGAAATTAATCAACTTCCAGTTTTCGGAAATTGCCTGTGATTCCGTAAATAGAATCACCTTCACTGCCACAGTTGGTGCCGGTTCGTTTTAGTGCAGAAACTGCACCAATTTTTGCTTGGTGGCTAAATAAGTCTTCATTTGCCTCCATTTTATCATGTGATAACAAAGTGGGGTTTGCATCAAACAACTCTTTCTTGAATGAAGCTGAAATGAGTTCAAATGTCAAAACAATCCAGTCAAATATTTTTATGAACATACCAATCATTTCACTCATGGGAATTGTCCCTCCATATTCTTTCGGCATCAACTCTTTGTCAACTAGGTCGGCTTTTAAAAATTCATCCAAGTTTGTATAGAAATGAACACGTTTTCGGATCTTTTCCGAGATCAGCGATAAACCAAAGTCTACAGCAAATTTCATTGATGGGTGCACATTAATCACATGGACATCTTTGTGACGCATTGGTAAAGTTTTCTAAAAATAAGAATTGGGTTACTTTGCTGTAGAGTAGGACACAAGTTTTGCGTGCGTAATGTATTAAAATATGGTATAGTATGGAGCTACGGTATTAAGAGAGTATCGCGTTAAGCATAAAGTATCAGCAGTCGTGGCCGAGCGGTTAAGGCGTCTGACTAGAAATCAGATTCCCTCTGGGAGCGTAGGTTCGAATCCTACCGACTGCGACCCTGTGTCCAAATTTTATTTTTTGAAAATAAATTACTTTACTTATATTAGTCGGTAAATATTAATTTGTTTTGATTAACGCGTTTTCTGGGCGAGAAATGATTCACATAAAATTTTTGATTAAAGTTTAACATGCCTCTCCATTTTTCACAATGCGCACTGCTTCCTTGATAGTAAACAACGTCAAATAGGCGAATCCCACGCCTTGGCCATCCGCGATGTGCACAAATCCTCGCACTTGATTGTCTTCGTCTTCCATCAATGTCTCGTAGACAACGCCATGTATGCGACACATGTCTGCATTTGTGAATTGCTCCAAATCGAACACTCCTACAACCATTTTAGATCAAACTATTGTCATCAAAAATCTAACAAGTTACTAGCCTGGTCGAGCAATAATAATCCTCCTGCCAAGTTTATCTCTCTTGGGAACAGCAAACAAATATCCCAAATCAGTAAGGTCTTGCATCATGGGAATACGAATGTCCAAATGATTAAAAGCAATGCCAAAAGTCTGTCTTAAAAGAATATAACGTTGAATCGCTTCTTGCGCCTGCAAAACGCTGAATTTCTTGAATCGTAAGAATCGCAGTAGAAATCTGGCATCGAGACGGCAGTTCAAAATCTTCGGATTTTGCATAATCCATTCGCGTATGGATGCGAGTGCCTGATCACGAGTATTCTTGTCCTCACGTAACTCCTCCTTAGCGATGGCCTGAGTCTCTTCCGATAGAGTGCATTCGTAATCATCGGGTTCGGTTACCCACTTAATTTCTGCGCGAGACATCTCTAAACAAATAATTACCCAATTGTCAAGTCACAATTGCAACCAAATACAAACAATAATCAATTTAACAATATGAAATGTTCCGTAGCACGGAAACGAGCAAAAATTGTTCATAAATCATGAATAGTCGAGTATTAGAACTAAATAAAAACCATTCTTATGTTCATGTTTCAATAATTATAAGATATCACAGTAATTCTATGAATGATATAATTAATATTGCATTCTTTGAATGCATTGTGTTGTTTTGGTATTATTTTCCCTGTGCTCTACTTTACGCAGTCTGACCTGAAGGCCTAGTGCCTTTCTTGTAAAAAGAGGAAACCACAATAAAATCAAGAATGAATAACGATCAATTACACATAAACATGCATAATAAACACAACGTGCGTGATATATGGATTTGCTTGTTGCAATTACATATTGGAGTGCAGCTAAGTTCGCGCGAGAGAAAGTATCTTAATTCGTGAGATTATGTAACACAATGGTACATGTTATATCACTTTAAAGGTGCCTCAGTGCACCTCAGCGACCTACTTAGATGATAATCAGGCACGTTTTTTGATTCATTTTATTGACAGCAAATTGCATTAAATTATAAAATTTATAAAACAAATAACAAACAAATAATGGCTAGACACGACTAAGATACTTATTTCTTTAAATAACAACAATAACATTAAAAACACGGTAATAAATTTAAATTTGCTAAATATTTAATCGTCTGCTTTTACGAAGTTTTATATTTGTCATTTGTTTTTTACTTTGGACATTAGTTTTAAAGTGAATAAAATAAAGATAAAACTGAATTTTCAAAATTGTTAGCATCGAAATTGAGCTTTTTAATTTCTACTAAAATTTAAAACTGATTTTGCAAAAGTTTGAAAAGAAAATTGTCTTTTTTCTTAACTTAAAAAATAGTAATAATTTAATTCAGTCTAGTAAATAATAATATAATCAATTTTTCTGAATATTTCATATTCATATTATATTAACTATATACATTCTAATCTAAAATGCAAAAATGTATTGTTTATGGCACATAAACATTATAATGAAGTTTTACTTACTGTCTGATATCTGCTTATAAATTTACAAACCACTTAATAAAACTGGATAACGACGTGAAATCGAATATTTGAAACTCAACCGCTTCGCGCTCGGTTAGGAATTAAACGCAAGAACGGTACACGCTGTACGACATGTGCGGGATTGCAGACTGGATACACTGACGACGAGTTGCAGTTTTGCGACGACTAAAATATGAGAAGATGTGGAAATGCACATTTTTCGCCGCACCCCACCCAGCTGCTACCGATCATGTTGATTGCTCACCGCAAAAGAAATGTCGGTATACACACACCACTTTTTGGTTTACGAATTCACCCAAACCGCAAGAAAGCTAGCGAATGTAAGCTGACAGCAGGAGAGTGTACGTGAATGGCGAATTAGGCCGAATTAGTGCAGGCTTACATAATTGGCTGATTCACCAGCCACAAGTCTAATGATTATTGAATTGTGGATGAAATTGCGACACAGTTTTCAATAATCTGCGTGTTCCTGCATAATTATTCAATGAAACCTTTCTCTGTTCTTTTCTGCTTTTATTATAAATATCTATTGTTAGGCAAGAGACATTTTACCGGTTTTAATATATTTTTAAGCTTCCGGTAACAAAAATTATATTGATATATCCAGAAATGAGTAAATTGAGAGAAATTGATGATTGCATTTCCTCAATTTACTTCACCAATTTAGTTTAATTAGTACGATCTAACGAGTTTTAATAAAGCTCAACATATTATTAGCAACACTTGATTCATTTACTACCGAAAGAAAGTTTATTTTCTATAAATAATAGATTGTTAGTTTATTTCTGGAATAAATGGTTATATCTTAATGGTCAATGTCAATAAAATCTAATCATATAACTGCTCTCATTTAATCTTCAATTAAGAAACCAAAACGAAATACAAGAAATGCGCGCATTTATTATAATACGATTTGTCCTAATTTCAGACTTCCTCTCGACGCGTATGCACAATATAGAAGGTGTTATGTAATCGGCAAATAGGTGCATAAATATGGCAATATTGCGTCACTGCTCCTTTTTGTTGCATTTGTGAGCGAATGCTGCGCGACGTGCAAACTGCACAGCATGTTCCATTGCTGACACACCGCAAAGGCGGTCGCGCCGCAACGGTACGCGCTCTATCTGTTGTGATGCTGACGATACTTAAACGGCACGGGTGGAACGAATGCACCGAATGCACTTTTGCTCTCGTCGAAGAGTGAAAGCAAGTTGCGTAACGCATCTTTGTTTACCAACTTTACCACCTGACTGTTCGACCCGTCGGCAAAGAAGCATGTTTCGTTTGTGGAGCAGATGCAATTTTTTTTAAACCGCAAACAAAAATTTAAAAAATAATTATTTGTTTTTAATTCCTAGAAAGTAATAAGTTTAAAAAATAAATTGAATGTATTTAATTGTTTTTATTCATTAAAGTAATAGGCATATGAAATAAATACAAATATTTTGATATTTATTTGCATTCTTCATGATATGGTTCCAAAGATCTCATGTCCCTCCAAGTTGGTGGCAGCGCACTATGAAGATAGTTCCCGCATCGTTTGCATGGCGCATTGAACAAACTTATATAACTATGGAACCAGTGCTTTAAACACAAAATTGGTTTTAATATAAAACACCGAAATTATATTTAGATAAAAGTTACCATAAAAGATCGCACAGCCAAATCAGGCATTGTTGGAGAATGAAAGTGGCACATAGCAGCATGACAATTCTCAGTCACTTTCCTGAAGACCTTATATCGCGATTCGGTCCACAAATCATTAGATTCAGAGTGGGCTTTTACAATGACCCATTCTATCATCAATCCTTTGAAAGCAATTACAGCTTTGAGGGTTCTTCCCAAGGATGCCTGTACAAATTATAATATTTTAATAAAATATAATAGTAATCACAAGTAATCAAATTACCTGAATAACTGGATTTGGTGAGAATGGTCTAGTTGCTGTTATAGTCACATCAGGAAACAAACGATCAATGCCAGTGACCAAATTTTCAATAACTCTACAATTAAAATATAAAAAATGTTAGTATTTTGTGAATGAAATTTATTAGTTATAAGCCTCTACTAACTCTGGTGCAACATTGTGATTACTTGTTTGTGTCTTTCTCCTCTTGGTTGCTCCAAAAGTCTTGTATGTTTTGCTAACTGAGTTAGCAGACAGAATATTCCCAGCTAAACCACTATAATCTCTGATCTAAAATTAATTCAGTAATATTATTTTATTTTAGGGACTAGGTTAAAATTCTTAATGACAATTACTTTATCTGTCCATTTATAACTGTTAACTAGCTGTCCATACAGAGCTTGTCTTTCTTGTGTTGTTTCTTGACTTAAAAAAGTTGAATTGCCCAAGTTAAAAGGGCCTGGTGGTGGTGTGAGATTGGAAACAGCAGTTTCTACTTCCCTATGAATTTAGACCAGCACATATTTAGATCAAATACAGCAAAAAAGATTGGACTAAACTCACCTCAAGTTTTTATTTACAGTTGACAACAACTCCTGCAGCTCCTGAATATACTTGTTTTCTTTAACTTCTTCTTCATGTTCAGCATTGAGACCATTGCTCACCGACGTAAATACAATGCCGACGTTCGAACGGAGTACTTTGATGGAGTTTAATGCCGTGTGTAATTGTTCTACATCAACCATGATGTTTTCAATTATTAAATTTGTGTTTATGTTCTCTTTAGATATGAACGGTAACCTAACAAAATTCGGTTCGAGTAAATACGAATGGAAGCGCCCTCCTACAGAATACGACTGTACCGGTTGAGTAGAAAACAGTAATTTTATTACGAACAAAGAGGTCTAATCCAGTGTATAATCTGTGGATTAAACATCGAAGAAACTATCGCAATTGCTATGGACTACAAAATTATCTAATGCAATATAGAAGATGACATAAAAAGAAGAATTACATCGTTATAAAATTTAATAGATAGTATAAAACCGCGTTTGCATACGTCGGCTTGAACTTTACTTTGTTTTGGCAATATTTGCCCGTTAAGTTCAAATATAAATATAAATACGAAGTATAATGTTTATGAGTATTCTAAAATCAGATTTGTTTATTAAACATTAGCGCCATCTGGGAGATGTAAAAATTGAAATTTTCGATAAAAACGCTGCGAAGCCAAATGGCTGCGCGTCAGCTTGGCTAGCGCCGCGTCGGTCGTTCGCTACGCGCTCGTATTTTGTTTCGCATTAAAACACGGCCCGCTTGTTATAAGACCGCGTGCATTTCGGATTCCGTTTCATACGGCGTTCTCCATGCGCGTTGTCAACAGCCTACTGCGTTGCGTTGCATTGTGGGTAATGTTGTTCGGATCATGACGCAGGCGCAGACGGTGCCACAGTCGGGTCTCGGAAAATGGCGTCAGCTAACTTTCTCGAGGAAGCTCTCAGTACGGATGTCGACGAATCTGCCGTAAGTGCGCTCGTCGGATCGTTAGAAGACCAACTCGCGCCTCCCGTGTCGACTCCGAACGTGAACGCGGCCAGCCTGAATCAAAATCACGTGCACAGTGCAATATCAAACGGCGGGACTGCGCTACCATCACAGAAACATGGGGCCATTGCTAACGGTGATACGATAAATTCGATAGCAGGTAACGTAGTGTGCGTTGGTCATGGCGAAAATGCCGGGAGCGTGCCTCCCGCTTGGGGAACGTCTCCGAAGCGTCGCGTGGGCGCCCACACGGCTTTACCGCTTACACATGATTCCCGCGCAATGCGTTTGTGTATATGTGGTGCTGTTAGTAACCTTCACAGTTCGCTTTCGGTGCGCGCCAGTCTGGTTATGCCTGCTGGTATTTCTCGCAGTGCATTTGTGCGTTTCCACCTGCGCGATGCAAGCAACATTGCACCACGACATGGTTTTCGCACATTTCGAACGGCGCTACATTACACAAACACAAATACAATATGACTAACATACTTTGGTTCAGTTTAAGATGCCAAAATTTTGCATTTCAAACAAAAAGCCTTCTGGATGTTCAATAAAAATGTTTATTTTTTAGGTTCAGTGTCACAGGTAGTCCTCCAAAACACCCAGCCTGTGACGAGTTTTGCGAATCTGGTGTCGGCGGATGGCATCAAGACTAGCCAGGACGGTGTCAACATCATCTACACTCAAGGCAATCCAGCAATGACCAGCACAGGCACAATTATCGCTAATCGTGCCTCCTTTCCCCAAACGGTGCAGAATGGCACCATCGGCAACGTGCAGCTTGCGAACGCCACGCAGGCTGGCACGAATGTGCAAACTATACAGACTAAGCAACAACCGACGTTGGTGATAAAAACAAGCGTCCCTGGTGGTACTGGGACGCAGGGTTTGGTCACGGTACCGATGAATGTGACCACGTCGGTGCCACAAGTGAACAACAATGTAGGTAGTCACATTACCACCCACGCCAATCCTAACATCCTTTCCAACCTCCAGGTTGTTAATGTTCGGCCCGGGATTCCCACACATCCGCAGAAGGGCCAACCAGCCAGGGTTGTGCTCAGTGCACCGCAATTGGTGGGGGCCAGACCTGGAACTCCTGTAAGTTGCCGTACTTAAATTGAATTTAGAATGATGCAGCAAACATGAGGATTGTACGTTCATCTCACTTATCAAAATACGTGTGCAGCGGTTGCGAAGCAGCTAAAACGACTAACACTAATCTCATCTTCATTCTCTGATTGATCTGTAGGGCTTTACTAATTGTTATGTGTGCTTACTAGAGAAGTGGAGGTAAATCAAAACATTCGATTATTCACATCACTGAATGCAATCCTCATGTTTGGTCAAAATCAAAATTTACAGTTTGTTTCGTTACGTTGATTGTATTTTGTTTCGTTATTTGCTATTGTTGTTCGTGTAAAGCTTTGAGAGTAGTTGAGAGTTTTATTTTATGTACGGAACTACTCGATTACCAGCGAATCGAGATTGTGCGGAATTTCTTTCTAACATTCCAATGCCTGCTAATATATCTTACATAGGGGTTACTGGGTATCGTCGTCACGATGAAATGTTCTACGTTTCGTCTTTTGTAGATCACGTAGTTTTGTTTCTTACGACTGTAGTTTGAATCGAAATGTTTGTGTCCCATGTGTGTCATCGATTGATTGAGTTCATTTGTTATTGTAGCAATTAACGCTCCAAAGCCTACAAGGTTTACAGCCAGGTCAACAGGGACATCTGCTTTTAAAGACTGAAAATGGGCAGTACCAATTATTACGCGTTGGTCCTGCACCACCAACGAGCGGTACAACAATTGCCAATGCAGGAGTCACATTTCGCATGCAAACCGTACCGGCTGTAAGTTCACTTTATTACTATTTGTGTACTGCTTTTTCCGATTGTTTTTGAAATCGTGATATTCGGTCGTGGATTTTTCATTTGTTCGAGTTTTACTACGTCGAGTTGATTCGTTCGTTGTTTCTTCGTTCGTTAGGTGTTGTGCAAACCGTTAAGATTCTTCGAATGTTCTCGTGTTCAAATAACGCTTTGCTTGAAAATGAACGCATGTTTCATCTCAATTCATCGTCATTCGCATTCGTGGACGATATCTTCCAGTCCTGCTGTGGAGTATCGATGATAACAACGCAATACTTTAAAACATTACAGAATGCCGTTGCCACACAAATTACAAATGCAACCACAGGGACGAATCCGATCGCTGCTGTGACTGCAGCTGCTGCTCCAACAGTCGCACCGGCACCACCGCCAGCGGCTGTTGCAAAACCCGCAAACGATAATACCAAAGAGAAGTGTCGGAAATTCCTAGCGAATTTGTTAGAGTTGTCAAGTAGGGAACCGAAGCCGGTGGAGAGAAACGTTCGAACGTTGATACAAGACTTAATCGATATGAAGGTGGAGCCCGAAGACTTCTGCGACCGTTTGGAAAAATTGTTGAATGCGTCTCCACAACCGTGCCTCATTGGATTTCTGAAGGTAAGTTATTAGTAAATAATTTGTAATTTTATTTGCTTCGAATTTATAAAACTAATGTTTTTTTGCCATGATTTATAGAAAAGTTTGCCATTACTTCGACATTCATTAGCCACTAAAGAATTAACGATAGATGGTATCCGTCCGCCGCCAACCAATGTGGTGTATTCAATCGCCAGCGGCACGACGACCGTGCAGTCGCAGGTACGGTCGGCTTTGACGACGCAGCAGGTTAGGCTGGTTACGCCAGGGACGACGGTCATGCGTCCAAGTCTGGTGCAACCGCGACTAGTCACCCCGATTCGGGCAGGTATGCCGACTCGGATGGTCACCACAATACGACAGCCCAATACCACCCAGCCGGTCATAGTCTCCAGTTCGCAACCTCCTGCACTTCATCCCGTGCAGTTTCCCGGCAATCAGATCATTCGGCAGGGACACATTATCCGACCGCCTATTCAGGTGCGTACAGCTGCGCCCACTGTCAACCATACTATTCGGCCCAACCAGGTAGTGATGCGCACGTCTACGCCTGTTGCCAAGAATGTCGCCGCGAGCACAAAAGCTCAGGGGCCGAAACCCGTTGTGCCTTCGAACGTTTCAAAAGTAGCTACCAAAGACAAGGAGAAGAAGACGGTGTCATCGTCGGCGGCTGCTGCAGCGGCTGCCGCGTACGCTGGCGGAGATGACGATATTAATGATGTCGCCGCTATGGGTGGCGTTAACTTGGCAGAGGAGACGCAGCGGATACTTGGCTCGACTGAGTTTGTGGGTACGCAAATTCGGAGTTGCAAAGAAGACTTCTTCCTAAGTATAAATCCATTGCAAACTCGACTGCGACAAAAACTGTCGAAGATTGGGTTTGACGAAGCCAGCAATGAGGTTGCGGCTATTATCTCGCACGCAGCGCAGGAGCGCTTAAAAAATTTAGTGGAAAAGTTAGCGATAATAACTGAACATAGGCTGGAAATGGTGAAAAGTGATCCGCGTTACGAAGTCACATCAGATATTAAAGGTACTTTCATCCTGACTTATGTATTTGCCCCTTTAATTATATTATGTTTTTCGGTAGGTCAATTAAAGTTTTTGGAAGAATTGGATCGGACGGAAAGAAAACGGCATGAGGAAATTGAGAGAGAGATGTTATTGCGTGCGGCAAAGAGTCGGTCGAAGACTGAGGATCCGGAGCAGGCAAAGCTGAAAGCTAAAGCGAAAGAAATGCAGAGGGTGGAGATGGAAGAGCTGCGGCAACGAGAAGCCAATGCGACGGCTCTTCAAGCCATTGGACCAAGAAAAAAGCCCAAGCTGGATAGTGATCTCAGTGCAAGTACTTCACAGGTAGGGAATAACTAACAACAATACAATACAAACAGTGATTTAATCAACATTATCACATCTATTTAGGCAACTCCCGGTTTCAACAGCGGTGCACGCGGCCAACTGCCCCTGAAACAGCGAATGAAAAAAGTGACTTTACGGGATGTCCAATTTCTGTTCGAGACCGAAAAGGATCTGTGTAAAAGTACTCTGTTGTACAAGTCTTATCTTAAGTGATGCTCGGTTCTCGTAGGCGGTGACGTTATTAATGTTGTGATAATGTGCGAATGTGTCGTTGAATTGAAATTCGCATTTCTTCGGACGATTGGATGGGAACGGACTGAATGATGAAAGAACTGATGCTAATAATTGATTTATCACGTCTAGGCGGGACCTCAAGAGGAAGCAAGATGAATAAAATTATTGTGTTCGAATGCAAACAAGTAAGCTATAAATTTTCAAATAAAAGTTGTTCCGTTAAGATGCAAACAGTGAAATAATTACGCAAATCAAGTGGAAGTTTTGTATCAAAACAATAATGATATAGTTATTTGGATCAAGAGGAAAAACGATCTTTACTGCTTTTCCCAGACTGTATGTGCCTGTAGGAGATCTGTCGATAGTCACAACAAAGTGTTTTTATTCTAAAAATTACGGCAGGTGCTTGGTTTTATGGACAAAATTTTATACCACGAACCCAAATTATTAACTTAAAATGAATTTTGAATGTTTTCAAATGGGAGTTGATGCAGGAGCAGATTACATTTTGTTTTTCATCTTTTATATCCAATTTAACTACCGAAACGAGTATATAACTAATTAATTTTTCTCCCATGAAAACAAAAAAGAAATTACGAAATTGTAGATTTTCTATAATAATGAAGGTACATAATTGAACATAGTGTTTTCTTTATAAGAAAATGTTTCCTTGATTATGATCAATCTAAATGCTGTTATATATTATTATTTTGTAATTATTTGTATAATTGTTTTCATTTTAACCTGATGAATATTACAATGATGATGGAGAAATGAACATATATGTAGATGATATATAATTTTGTTATAGAATATTATTAATATAATGAAAATGAGGAGCAACACACTGAAAGAAATTTGCAAATGAAGGGAATACAAAACAATTAAACTAGTGAATTCATGGGCACGACGGAACTTGTATAAACAAACAATTAATTAGAGATAATTCTGTTTTTTATATTCTTGTACATATGTACCTATAACATATACCACATAATATTATAAATGTCGTATATATATTATATATAACTCATTGGTCGAAACTGCGCAAGCAATTTAACACCGAGATCTATAGAATGGACATGAGACGAGATGGTTTTTGATGATGATTGGCGTTCATCGAATAAGCGCGCAAATTATTTTGTCGCTGCCAAGCATAAGTATTCCGTTAGAACTCATCGAATTTCGTGTTGGCCATCATCGTCGAAATCCACTTTGCACATTTGTTACGAGGAGAACTAGCATTATTTTTATTATTCTTATTTTAAGTCTAGTAGTCAAACCTAGAAGCGAAATTGTTTTCGATCTGTTGCATACTTGGTATTCATTGTAAATAATTAGGTTACATCGTAAATCACTAAACCTTTACACCACAAAATCGTAAAATCAAACAAGAAAACAAAACACAAGCAGATAATACCATAGTAATTTGAAATAGGTTGCAGTTTCTTACGACACACAACATAGCTGGCTGCCATGAAGTTTTATATATTTTTTGTAATAACAAATAATTGTTTAAGAACATACAAATGCAAATTTGTTATTATGTTGTTACATATTTATTTTTATTTTTTAATATGATGCTACTTTGCAGATGAAAATTTCATGTTTCTTTATTTGTATTTTGTTCCTTACATTTATATGTGTTGTGTGTCCCTAAGGATTTTCATTATGGAAGTATTGTTGTTTATCTTACTTTTTACAAGACAAATTTGAAAGGCGTTTAAATAATCAAATTATTTTTATAAAAAAAGTAAATACTACTGAAGTCGTTTTCTATAATAAATTATAAATCAAATTTCGTGTTTTTTTGTGTGAATAACATCGTATAAACAACTACAATCTTATATAATCCAATTGTTGTAAATTTAATTTGGCTTAAAAAAGAACTCCAAAGTTTCATTTTGAACGGAATCCGAATTAAATGTCCTTGAGAAACGACAAAATAGAGAGGTACAAATAATGTCAATGCAAGTACCATTTTTGTAAGAACAAGCACAGAATTCTCGTTTTCAGTCAACAACAACTGTTTAAACTGAAAGTATGCTCGGATGGTCAAACATGCGTTCGGTATTTAACGAGCATAGTGGTTCATTTTTGAAAAAGTGTCACTAGCGCCAAAGGCCGATAGTGTGGATATCAGTAGAACTAAACCCCAAAACAGTCTCGGTGCGGTCGGCATGACTAGAAGCAACTCAATTAAACTCTAAGCTTTTTCGAAGCGATTGAATATGTACTTATAATTATCATAACTTATTAAGGTTGTAATTGTGTACCAGTAAGTGATTTCAGTATGTTGAAACTTCGTGCATTAAACACCGAGTACTCTTCTGATGAGGATGCTCCTGGTATGAGAAAGGAAGCACAGGTATGAATTACTTGTATTCTCATGTAGTTGTTGTTATAAAGATTGGATTGTATTAACTAATATTATAGGAAGAGATAGCTTTAGATATATACACCAAGGCATTGAGATTGCAGTGTAACAATAATTATGATGAAGCAAAAGAATCTCTATATCAGTTGCTCAATGAAAACATACCATTGCTTGAGAGCCAAGGAGGCTTGCCAAAAACCATGTCTACTATTAAATATTCCTGTTACATGAATATTGGTACAATAGCAATGAAACAGAACAATGAGCAGGAAGCTCTGAAGAATTTCCTGACAGCCTCTGAATTGGACAAGACTGATGTTACACTTTGGTATAAGATTGGTATGCTGGCACTGAAGCTAGACAGATTTCAGCAATCAGCATATGCATTTGCTCAAGGATTAGAGTGCAGTGAATCACACTGGCCTTGTTTGGATCAGTTGATTTCTGTGCTGTTTGCATTACAAGAAACTGTAGCATGTTTGCAGTACATTGGCAAAGCATTGATATTGGATTCATGTTATGTGAAAGGAGTGGTCCTGAGGAAGCAGATTTATAGAGATAATCCTGCTACTGAAGATTATTACAAACAATTCAATGCTGATCATATTTATGAACCAGTGATTGATTATGAAGTTACTGCTGAAGAGGAGAAAGAGTTTTTAAATGAAGTAAGGAAGTTATCTGATAGGATAAATGAAGCTGAGAAGTTATTAGCACCCAAACCATTAGCAACAATTCCACTGCCAAGAGGACTGAAAGACTTTACATGGGTGGAATTGGGAAAAACTGTAACTGAACTGCACCAATATTTAACTGACAACAATATGGTAGATAAAAATTATGGGTAAATATAAAGTGGTTAATACATAGTTTATTTTTCTTCAGACTCATCTTACAAAAGTTGATATCAAAAGATGTATGAGTATTGATGGAACAGCTATGCCAGTTATTGAAGAACTAGTTGAGGAAATACCTATTTCAATAGGCAGTGAAAATAGCAAAAATGAAACACCGAAAACTTCGTGTGATAATTTAAAAGAGGCAAAAGAGATAGTTGAAGTTTCGGAAACAGTTGAAAATAGAAATCAAAGTGGTGAAAGGAGACCCTCACAAAATAGTGAAAATGAAGTAGATACTAATACATCAGTGAACCTTATTGAAAATGAAGAGGTATGTTTAAATCCGGCTATTTAGTGCTTTAATTTCTGTATTTATATTAATTAGATGGAGCAAGACAATGATGATCAACCCGAGCAGGAAGACGCGGGTACACCAAAGCAAGATGCGAATAATCGTTCACTAACGAAAAGTGCTAAACGTAAACGTGACTTGGTATCGGAATTGCAAATTTGGGGATGGCATAGTAAACGGAAAGCTACCAAACGGGCGAAAACAGATAAGGACTATCGCATTGAAGACGCTTTAGTTAGAATCATTCCAATGTATTTAATGTAAGTAATATTTAAGGATATTGTTAATGAATAGCTACATAATGTTAATATGTTTTTATTAGTCCCAATGGATTGCCAAGTGATAGTTTGGAAATGTTTGAAGATTCGAGAAGTCCCATTGATACCTTGAGTAATGATGATCAGAGCGCTAGAATAGATTCCTACTTTGGCAGTGATGAAGAAAATAAAGACGTAAAACAATTCTGGTCACGCAACTGGATTAATCATGACGCCATTGATTTGATCGAGGCGTTTGTTCACGTAGTTGCAAATCTTTGGAAGAAGAAATGGCCGTTTGAATTGATCGATTTGTATGTCACTGCATACAATATGTATAGGGAACATGCATCACATCCACGTTTGTTTAGTGATCCAATCGAGTTTGAGCCACTGAAGAAAGATGCCTTGTGTACTTTGCTTTTTGGGGAACTAACTACCCATACTAACAACAAGTAAGTAATTTATTATTGCTTCTATGCGTTCTTGGCGGTAAACATGTTCTTTTAAGAAAATACCTAGAGGAAGAAATTCACTGTACGTCTGTGAGCCAGTTAACAATGCTCAGTGGTTGGGAGAATTATTGGGGCGAGGAATATACAGATTTCGCAACCCGGGTGCATTGGCTTCGAGCTCATTTGTTTAAACAAAACAACCAAAATAATTTAGCGATCATGGCTCTGCAGTTGATACACGATGTGGTTGATTATTCAAAGTTAACTCTGAGTAGTTTTAAATTAATCATTCCTAACAACGAAAAACACCATATTATTAATAATTCTATAATGGAAGGAATGCTTTCGAAACTAGAGTTGTAAGTATTTCGGGAGATGTATAAGAGTGATAATTTTTGGCCATTCTTTTAGAATTGATTCTTTAAGTCGTGTTGAAGATTTGTACGAAAAAGAGGCTTATGATGAAGTGGCTGAGATTTTAAAACTAACATTTAATTCATCCAATTCTAAGGTCACCTATGGTAAAATCGGTCGTCAAGCACAATTAGGCATGCTGATGCATTCTCTTTGGTACACGAACCAAACTGATTGCTTCATTTGGACAGAAAAATGCCTGCATGAAGCTTTGAAATTTGTTATTAAGCCCACAACGGATTTTGATAAATGGGAAATGGTTGTGGAGAAGTGTCTTCTAATAATGTACGAATTGATTAAATGCGAAACGGTGCGAATCATTGATATTCTTCAAGATGATAAACGCTGTCGTTTGGTTGAAACGCTCACGACTTTGTGTCGGAAACAAATAAATACAGAACAAACTCGAATGCCCATGCAGAACTTTCTGCCTTATCCTTGGATTCTCTTGCATTATATTTTATTACGAGATGAACATAGACAACAGGCGAAAAAGGTGGTAAATCACATTTCCAAGGATGATAGATCACTGGACACTACTCGTTTTGATGATGACGACGAGCTTCCAGCGTCAATTGCAATACTGTTTTCGGCCCATGAATTTTTAGGTCCTAAAGCTTGGTGCTTAGCAAAACAGGGCGAGTTGTTGCACTTTATGTTGGATTCTATCATATATAGGCTTGATACACCCATTTTGGAGCCCCACAGAGATAAAATTGATATACATTTGGAGCAAGCTTTCTTTTGTTTGTATCAGCATCCATGTAAGAAAAACAAGGTGTCTAGGCATCTGGCTGATCATAATGTTAATCCTTTGCCCTTGACGTGGGATCGGGCGCAACAGCTCTATGAATACTTTTGCCCGGAGGCACTTCCTGAATTTGATTCTTATAAGTCGATTTCAATTTCTACAGATTTAGAACAGCTTTTGCAGAGGATAACGGCCATTATTCCGAAGGAATGTGATCCACAACCGATGCTGCCTAAAATCAGTGAATACCTTCACGGTACTGTGAGTACACTGCCCGCAGCCACCGACTTTCCTCCCCGAATTAAAGCAATATACTATTTGCTTGGCGATTATTATTTTAAGCAAAGCGAAGTAAAAAGAAGTTATAAGTACTTCTTATTAGATTTGTGCATTAATCCTGGTCGCATTGATACATGGGCTGGATTGTCGCTTGGTATTCACAGTCAGTTAGAATCCAAGCTCAATCATTGCGAGCGTTTCAAAAACGAAATGGAATTTATAGAAAAAGCGAAAAGTGCAAAAATCTGCTTTAAAGAGGCATTGAAATTAAATGACGAACATGTAACTTTATGGATTGAGTTCGGTTCGTTTGAATACATGGTGCATTCATTTTGTTCGCGTGTTTTAAAGTACGAATCTGAGAATTTGAGCATGGAAAAGTTTGAGGCCCTGGAAACTGAAAAAGAAGGCTATTTGGAAAGTGCACGCAATAGTTTTCAGAGGGCCTTAGAAGTTTATCAGGTAGATCAGGCCGATGCAGATGAACGTTGGTTGTTTCATTACATGATGGGCAAAATAGCGGAAAAGAGCCAAGCAGACCCCAAGACATACTTGGATCATTACATGCAGGCAGCTTCATTGCTTCATGAAAATAAATGCCAGTATCCTGAGAAGATTAATTACAATAATCCTCAGCATTTGTCTTTGGAAGCACTGGAGGTGCATTATCGAATCAACGCATCGATTTTAAAATATTTGGAAGCGCACGACGGCAAACCAATACTTGTTTCAATGGGGAAATGGTTCAAGAAATGTTTAGATAGTTCCGTTATTCAGAAGAGTAAGTATGAAACAAAAGCTGGGAGTAAGACTGATTTGATTCCAAAGGGTGATGATGAAAATATTCCAAATGAAGTTAGGAAAGTTGTTGATGATCTACTTGATAAAGTGGAAAAGCCTGATAAGGAACAGGAGAAAGGGTCAGATAGTGACGATGTTGTTCTGATTGAGTCTGACAAGGATGAAGAAAATACTGCAAAACAAAGTGAACCCGTTATTCTTCCGAAAATCAAAGTTCGTAATATTCAGGAGATCATGGATCAAATGATGAAAGATAATTTGGAGAAGGGGAAAGAGCAAAGTGATAGTGATCATGAATTTTCTACAGGAAATGTAGTTGCGACAGGGCCAAATACGAAAAGTGGCGATGAGAAAAGTGAGAAGAGTGAAAGAGAAGCTCGAAGTGAGGATGAAGGGAATATCAGGGTATATGGCTTAATGTATTTATTTATTTAGCAGTTACCTAAATGTGAGCTTTGTAGAAATCTACCACTACTGCTACGGAAGATTCAAGTTCTTCTTCCAGTTCGTCCTCTTCTAGTTCAAGTTCAGATTCTGAGTCTGATGATAGTTCTGCTACAAGTTCGACGGATAGTTCCAATGAAAACATGTCCGATAGTGAAATCGTAAATTTGGCGGAAAGATGTATTGTTGGATTGGAACATTGCATCCGTCGCTTACCGCAGAACTACAAAGCTTTATACCGCTTGGCGCATGTTTATTATTCATATAGCAAAAAGAAGGATTTAAACAGGTGCAAGCAGTTACTCATGGGCGAGTACAAATGCAAAAATAGCGTATTAGTAACCGGATTATTCAGTGACAGAAAGACCACCAATTTTTTTAATGTAAGTTTTATTGTTATTATTTCAAATGTGAATTTTATATATATGAAATATTTAGGGTATTTGGCGTATTCCATCAAGTGAAATTGATAGACCTGGTTCATTAAGCGCGCATATGAGTCGATGCGTCACATTGTTATTGCAGGTTTTAAGGGACACCCAAGATCACAAAACCCTATTGGAATTGTGTTTGCAATGGCGTAGAGTTCCAGATGCGGATAAGTATGTTTTAATATAATGATTTGCGCAAAACCAAAATAGCAATAAAAAATATTTTGAAGGGTTTACATTCGTCATATTGAACGAGAACAATTATCAGAGGATGCGTTAAAGATGTGTATACAAACACTCCGGACGCAACTTAAGGAAATCGATACGATGTCACCACAAAATGCTGAGCGCCTTTTGATTGATCTATTTAAAGCATACCAAAGGAGTCAGAAAAATTTGGCCCATCAAGAAAAAGTCTTTGCTGGAATGCTAATAGATGGATATAAGAAGTTGATGGGTGATAAGTCGCCAGAAAACACTTCTGCAATGCTGGATTTGGCTGTAAAATATTGTCAGCAAACAAGAGGGGTAGATAAAATTAAGAAGCAGCATATTCAAGCTGTCTCGCCAAAGCCCATTCCTACGGCCCCACTACCAACACTGGTTTGTTATGTGAATATAATTATAACGATTTTTTGCTGATGTTTTCTCTTATTACAGCCACCTATTGTCCAACCTACACCAAGTAATGTGAATTTTTCTCCTTCCCAAGCAATGAAACGACCTACTTTGGGCCGGCCCCGAGGAAGACCACCTGGTTCAACCAAGTTTAATCAAAGCAAATTGGCAAGAGGAAGGAGTCCACTTACAAATCCGTATTCTTGGTCAAATCCATTATATCCCACCGCCCCTGCTGGGTTTGACTACTTTAAACATTATCAAGATGAACTAATTCGACAATACAGCCAAAGTCAATTTTCGAATATGTTTAGTGCTGGATTGGGCATGTCAGCATCAACTGCCGCTGCCAGTGCATTGATTAATCCTTCCACAACAAGCACAGCTTCCAATCAGTTGCTAAATGCCACTTTGTTACAGCAATTAACCGCCGGTATGAATCCCACAAATCAGTTAAGTCAGGCTTTGAGTCAAATGAGCCCAAATTTGTTAAAACAAACTCTTGAGACTCTTGGAAGTCAAATGTCTGTTCCAAACCCATCGCCATTACTGGCTGGCTTGAGTGCAGATAAATTTATGCAGTTGGCCGCCCTAGGTCAACAAGCATCATCTAAAACTAGCAAGGCAGCTACTATTGCAAAGCCCAAGACTAAGGTGACTTCTTCACATCAAGGCCAAAAATTGTCAACCGCTGGTTCATCTGCAGTTATGTCAAATATGGGCTTTAAATATCCATCAACAACGGAAGTGAAACGGAAGCAATCTAAACCTAAGACTCAAGCCCCAGGGGGCTACGCTTCCTCTAAAGAAATTCCACCTGCTCATTCAACATCAACAGCTAGTTTATCAATGGATAAGTCGAACTCGTTGATGAAAGATCGTCCGGGAATATCAATCACACCAATTGCACAGCCATTAGCTAAAGTACCAACCGGGTCGCCTGGAACATCCAACCCAACAATTCCCACTTCATCAAGTCCAGGCAAAACACTTCAAGAAAAGCTGGCTGATAAGCAAAAGCAGCAGAAACAGGCTGCGAAGAGTCTTGATTTCTCATCAACATCGCCTTCGACATCTGCTATGTCTTCGACGATGCCCTATCCTATGTTTCCAACGCCTGCAGATTTAAAAAATTACCAAAATGTAATTCCAAATTATTTACTCGAGTCTGGATTATCCATTAGCCAAGTATGATTTTATTTTATTTCTTTTTATTTCATTAAAACATTAATATGTTTCAACACTTAGGTGCAACAGAAAATCTCCAAACCAACTTCATCCCAACTAAGTACAAGTTCAAATAAATCGAAACCGTCTGCTAGCTCCATGCCCATTTCCATGAGTGTAGTAAAAAAGGCTCCAGAGAAGACATCTAAGCCACCTGCGGAAGATGATGTTATCATAATAGAATAATTAATTTGATTTGTTACTTTTCATTCAATCTTTGTCAATTTAATTGATTTGCATAAAAGAGTTTTGTATACTCGTATGTGCGCCGTGTGTGTGTGTGTGTGTTATTTTTAACATTGTGAAATCCGGGTTTCGTTTTCTCCACTACGTGTTTAGTCTAAATTGTGGGACTAGTATCTGTCGCATTCATAGATGGCACTAGGATGCACTAAAAATTATAAAATCGAGTTATACGGCTTATTTTTATATTTATTGACAAACGTGGGCACGAGAATAGTTTTGTATACAATGCTGTTATCTGCGATTCGGTGTAAATAACGTTTAACGCATGTGTCCCGCGCGCTGTCTCATAGCGCCGCATCGACTTGCTGCATGCAGCGAAGTCTAGTTTAGTTTAGATCACAGGTAATGTGCCTATTGCAAATTCGCGCACGAGGTCGCGTGCCGTCGACGCGCCGTCTTTGCGCACCTCTTGCTTTCTTATCATATACTGTCCCGTCGTTGTTTACACAGTTTCGGCTTGCACTATAGTTGGATTGCAGCCAGTTTCGCACCGGTCGCTGGTTAGTCCAGTCGTGTTTTGAAAGGCTTTTATCGTTTATCCGTAAAATTTGCACGCTGCATTGTTTTATGCGGGGTTAGACGCGTGTTTGCAATATGGCCGCGATTCAAACGTCTTTTTCACGTTCGCAACCACCAAGTTGCATCATCACGTAAAACACATAATGTCTACAATGTATTTATTCCAATTAGAATGTAGTTTAATAGTGCAGTCGAAATGAGGAATGCGGTGACCGCAGTTTCAACTTCGCGAGGTGTGCGCGGCGGCCTTATCAGTTGTTTGTCTGCTTTTCACATGTTTCAAACGTTCACTTTACGGCAGTAGAGTGCCAATTTTACAGCACTGCTAACACAAAGAGATGCCATGTTGTTGTTTTGATTTTAATATTCCAACATTCCAACACAATTCGGCACTGCTGATAACGCACTCTTATTTTTATTTTAAAGCGGTGCATTTTTCATTTACTAATTCTTTAGTATTTGTTACATTTTAATTCTGTTTTATTTTCTGTTTCTTGTGTGCGACGTCGTTGATGGTGCATTCCGATCGGGTTATCAACCGACTTCTTGAAACCGTTCTTGTTTCCCATCGCAGGCATGTATATTAAAAAAATAACTGTTCTTTCTATTATTTCTCCTTGTGCTTAAAATTTCCTGCTGTTTCTAGATGACATTCCCAGGTCCACCACAAGATGTCCAGGAGTAGTCATGCTTTCCCAGGAATGGAAACAGGGTTGAACATTGCTACAAAGTTTTTACATTGTCTCTAATAATTTTGAATTTTTCTGTTACTAATTGCTCTTTCTGCTTGTCTTTCAGGTACATATTCGATATATTTGGGCATTTTTGTAACTCGGGCGCGTTCGTTTTCGGTTTATCTACTTTTTGTGTCTACTAATATTCCACTCCTTCATGTTTTAACAAACTACCTCTTAATATAATTATTATTTTATTCTTTCATAATTTAAAAAAATCCTTGGCAATTTAGATTAATTTATTATTTATACCAAATCATCCTTACCCAGTATTTTTAATCTTCGTTTGATTCACAGGTATAAGTTATAAACGTTATTCGCGAGATACCTGGAGAGGTGTAACGAAATACTCATCGAGTGCGGGTTGCGACGCGTTTTAATTTAACAATTTTAATGAATCGCGATCGATTAGCTACCGAAGGAGGGTCGTGCCATGTCCCCTTTCACCTGTTAGGGAAAGTACGCGGTGTTTATAAATGTTTATCCGAATATTCGACAAATCGAGTGCGGGACGCGATTAAAAATCAGAAAGTATCGTGAAATCCGTATTGCTCCCTAATAATGCGTGATAAAAACAATTCCAATTCTATGAGGGTTTGTACGGGGCCTCAACGGACTTCAAGCATCCTACCAGCGGTTTGGACTCCAGATTGCATTATAATATCAACGCCTTAAGTAGTGAGTACACCTGACACCAAACTGGATGTCTTGTATCTTTATGCGCCATAAATGCACGTGATTACAATCGTCGGTATAGCTTCGTCTGTTACCTCAATAAATTATATTATTTTAAATTTCCATCTTAGAGAATTTTCCAATCTTTCATAATCAACAATTCGTTGGTAGCTATCTCTTTTAGTTTAAGAGATATGAATTTTTGAAAATCGTCGAAAAAAAGTATCAAGCACCCCCCCTTGGCAATTTTTTTCTTAAGATTGAAAATTTCATCTCTCAGATTTCCCTTTTAACTATTCTATCTGATAGAGATTGGTCCGTAGATTAAGACGCTGCGATCAGAACTTAATTATCTCCTTTAGTTTACGAGATATTCGCGATTGAATAAAATGGGCAAAAATTGCCAAATGTCACTTTTTAGCACTTTTAGTCGCGTTTTTCGACCTTTTACTCTAGGAAATATAATTATTTTATATTTTTATCTGATAGAGAATTTTCCAATCTTTCATAATCAACAATTCGTTGGTAGCTATCTCTTTTAGTTTAAGAGATATTAATTTTTGAAAATCGTCGAAAAAATGTATCAAGCACCCCCCCTTGGCAATTTTTTTCTTAAGATTGAAAATTTCATCTCTCAGATTTCCCTTTTAACTATTCTATCTGATAGAGATAGGTCCGTAGATCAAGACGCTGTGATCAGAACTTAATTATCTCTTTTAGTTCACGAGATATTCGCGATTGAATAAAATGTGCAAAAATTGCAAAATGTCACTTTTTAGCACTTTTAGTCGCGTTTTTCGACCTTTTACTGTAGGAAATATAATTATTTTATATTTTTATCTGATTGAGAATTTTCCAATCTTTCATAATCAACAATTCGTTGGTAGCTATCTCTTTTAGTTTAAGAGATATGAATTTTTGAAAATCGTCGAAAAAAAGTATCAAGCACCCCCCCTTGGCAATTTTTTCTTAAGACTTAAAATTTCATCTCTCAGATTTCCCTTTTAACTATCCTATCTGATAGAGATTGGTCCGTAGATTAAGACGCTGCGATCAGATCTTATTTATCTCTTTTAGTTTACGAGATATTCGCGATTGAATAAAATGGGCAAAAATTGCAAAATGTCACTTTTTAGCACTTTTAGTCGCGTTTTTCGACCTTTTACTGTAGGAAATATAATTATTTTATATTTTTATCTGATAGAGAATTTTCCAATCTTTCATAATCAACAATTCGTTGGTAGCTATCTCTTTTAGTTTAAGAGATATGAATTTTTGAAAATCGTCGAAAAAAAGTATCAAGCACCCCCCCTTGGCAATTTTTTCTTAAGACTTAAAATTTCATCTCTCAGATTTCCCTTTTAACTATCCTATCTGATAGAGATTGGTCCGTAGATTAAGACGCTGCGATCAGATCTTATTTATCTCTTTTAGTTTACGAGATATTCGCGATTGAATAAAATGGGCAAAAATTGCAAAATGTCACTTTTTAGCACTTTTAGTCGCGTTTTTCGACCTTTTACTGTAGGAAATATAATTATTTTATATTTTTATCTGATAGAGAATTTTCCAATCTTTCATAATCAACAATTCGTTGGTAGCTATCTCTTTTAGTTTAAGAGATATGAATTTTTGAAAATCGTCGAAAAAAAGTATCAAGCACCCCCCTTGGCAATTTTTTCTTAAGAATTTAAATTTCATATCCCAGATTTCCGTTTTAACAATCCTATCTTATAGAGAATGGTCCGTAGATTAAGACGCTGCGATCAGATCTTATTTATCTCTTTTAGTTTACGAGATATTCGCGATTGAATAAAATGGGCAAAAATTGGTAAATGTCACTTTTTAGCACTTTTAGTCGCGTTTTTCGACCCTTTACTGTAGGAAATATAATTGTTTTATATTTTTATCTGATAGAGAATTTTCCAATCTTTCATAATCATCAATTCGTTGGAAGCTATTGCTTTTAGTTTAAGAGATATGAATTTTTGAAAATCGTCGAAAAAAAGTATCAAGCACCCCCTTGGCAATTTTTCTTAAGACTTAAAATTTCATCTCTCAGATTTCCTTTTAACTATCCTATCTGATAGAGATTGGTCCGTAGATTAAGACGCTGCGATCAGATCTTATTTATCTCTTTTAGTTTACGAGATATTCGCGATAGTATAAAATGGGCAAAAATTGCAAAATGTCACTTTTAGCACTTTTAGTCGCGTTTTCGACCTTTACTGTAGGAAATATAATTATTTTATATTTTTATCTGATAGAGAATTTTCCAATCTTTCATAATCAACAATTCGTTGGTAGCTATCTCTTTTAGTTTAAGAGATATGAATTTTTGAAAATCGTCGAAAAAAGTATCAAGCACCCCCTTGGCAATTTTTCTTAAGACTTAAAATTTCATCTCTCAGATTTCCCTTTTAACTATCCTATCTGATAGAGATTGGTCCGTAGATTAAGACGCTGCGATCAGATCTTATTTATCTCTTTTAGTTTACGAGATATTCGCGATTGAATAAAATGGGCAAAAATTGCAAAATGTCACTTTTAGCACTTTTAGTCGCGTTTTCGACCTTTTACTGTAGGAAATATAATTATTTTATATTTTTATCTGATAGAGAATTTTCCAATCTTTCATAATCAACAATTCGTTGGTAGCTATCTCTTTTAGTTTAAGAGATATGAATTTTTGAAAATCGTCGAAAAAAAGTATCAAGCACCCCCCCTTGGCAATTTTTTCTTAAGACTTAAAATTTCATCTCTCAGATTTCCCTTTTAACTATCCTATCTGATAGAGATTGGTCCGTAAGGTACTGTAAAGTGTTTTCAGATGGCGTAACGATGTAGGTTCACCTGGAAATATTCCAGCGAGAGGATTTTGTTTTGTTTGAACGGTGCGATAACGACGAGCGCACATTCCACACTGTCGACTTGAGTTATTCTTTGATGTAAATTCGGTAAATCTTGTTCGCCTGATCGCCTGTGATAATTAGTGTTAATAAACTTGTTTGAGCTTTTATCAGCTATTTATCGCGGGTGTTTATTTTTTAGCACTTTTAAACACGGTTTCGGAACGTGGTAGGTGGAT